GGCTAAGAGCGGGAGGTGTCGGATGCCGATGTCAGCCCAACTTGTGATGTGGGCCTCTCGTCGGATCATGTTGTGGGCATGACCGCGACGGATGGTCCTCGCTGGGTCATGCCGTGGGCCTGACTTCCAACAAGAAGGAGACGTCAGCGGCCCCTCGTTGGTGTAACGGGTTGCAAAGAAGTTGGGAGGCTCGGTCTTGAAAAAGAGTTCTGCTCCCTTGGATCGAACCTGCTACCTACACCCATGCTGGTGCTGGGCAAGCCTGATGATTGGAGCAGATCATGCAGACATCAATCAACAAGGGAACGTAATTACCGCTACACATGATCGTTCTTCCCTGCGAGTGCATTAGCAGCTATATTAACTAGAATTCCATTAAATCTTTGTCAGAAATGTGGCATTTCCGTTGAAGACATTGGTTTTTTTATTTTATTTTTTTACATTTTGAAACACAGGTAGCCCCTTTCTTGCATGGAAAGAGGCCCAGAAAACTCATTTTTAGAAAAGGTTTTTTTTTAAAAAGCCTATCCAAGTCATGCCAACGAAATCGGGCATGACATGATCCCCACCGGCGCTGAGCTGAAGCCCAACACACAGCCATCATCGGTATCATCACCGCATGTTCGTGTTGGGCCTGCCTTTGGATCACGGCAGATGATCCTGATGTCAAGACATCAGGATCATTCACGGTGATCCAAAGGTCGGCCCGACCTCAATTTCATGACAGCCCACAACCGCCGTCAGGTCCAGGGAAGACAGGTCATTGCCGACCCGTGCCAACCCAATCTCAACTGCGCTGTGGGCCTGTCGAGCAGGAATGGAAATTATCGACCTGTGGTGTACACACTGCACACCGAGCAAAAATTATTGCAAGGGGGTTAGCAGAGGCTATGAAGGGGCTGCTGCAGCACAGTCTCATGTCGGATTACCCGTAATCGGACATGAGACTGTGCTGCAGCAGCCCCTTTAGCGCCGGTGCTACCCCCCCCTTTACCCGTCATGTTACACACTGCACACCAAGCAAAAATAGAGACAACTACCCACCTCATCACTCCAAACTTTTGAAAAACCACCACATCACTTCAAAACCAAGCAACAGACTTTGGTAATCCAAGACCCCCCCGCCAAATTTTTGACCCCATCCCCACCAAAAAAAAACTGTAAGATTTTCGATTTTTTTTTGGGTTTCTGACCAAGTTTTTGACTTTTTTTTTTATTTTTTTTTTGACTTTTTTTGACGTTTTTTGACTTTTTTTTGACTTTTTTTTCAACTTTTTTGACTTTTTTTTTCAACTTTTTGGACTGTTTTTTTGGACTTTTTGGCCAATTTTTTTGGACTTTTTGGGTGATTTGTTTTGACTTTTTGACCAATTTTTTTGACTTTTTACTGACTTTTTTTTGACTTTTTTTTGGTTTTTTTTGGGGTTTCTGACCAAGTTTTTGACTTTTTTTTGAATTTTTTTTGACTTTTTTTGACTTTTTTTTGACTTTTTTTTTACTTTCTTTTTACTTTTTGGACTTTTTTTCAACTTTTTGGACCGTTTTTTTGGACTTCTTGCCAATTTTGCTGGACTTTTTGGGTGATTTTTTTGACTTTTTACTGACTTTTTTTTGAATTTTTGGCCAACACAGATCATGTCATTTAAGGGCTTTGCCCATCAGGAGGATCCCAACCCTCTGAACAATCAACAAAAAACCAGCTATTTAGCTATCTGATCAGTACTATGGTCTTGCAAGCCAGTCTGGGCACAGGCCCAAGTTGGGCAAAAAAGAGGCCAAGCGGGCTTGGCCAATCCCAAACCCCGTGTGCCCCTCTAAACCCAACCCTTGCTTGGCACCTCCCAAAGTTGGAGGGGGTCAGGCCCAAGTCATCCAAGAAAGTGTGCCACCCGCGCCAAAGCTGACCTCACCAATCCACACTTGACCGGGCCCCAAGTCTGCCACCCGCACTCTGGTGAGCCCAGAGCTTGGGTTCGGCCAAGCCAGACTTGGGCTAGTGTCAAGTTTCAGTCCCCGCACGACCTACAAAATCAAGCCCCCTGGGCACACACCCAAGCCCCATTGGCACTCAGCCACACAGGTCTTGGGCCTGTGTCCAGACTGGCTTGCAAGACCATACTTCCTGGTCACTGTTCCACAATCTTTTAGTGGGAATACCAGGTATACATAGCTACTTGACCCAGCAGGTTTGGACTTGTCATGACACTATTTAAAATGAGTGATTGATCAAAATCAAATTAATCACTTCATTCCTTCCCCCTAAAAAATGAATTATTTGCAATATAAATTTGAATCTGATTTATAATTCTGATTAAGGTGTACACTATTAGTGTGATAAACATATAATTGGCATCTGTTATTGATGAATTTAGAAAGAGAAATCACAAACTTGAATATGGTTGAATTTCTGTGATGTTCTAAATGTATTTCTACAGGGGCTACAAAACCAAAAAAATAAGAGCTTCCCTTGATCTGATTGTGAATCAAATCTGTAACATTTGTTCCAAAAAACTGCTGAGGCCATGAAAATTTTATTCAATTAGCAGGTTTTATTTTTTTATTTGAATCAGCAGCCTTATCTTTGGGGGGAAACTAGGTGTAAGCAAAAGGGAATTTTAGAGGACATTCATTTTCTTTTCTGGGAAATTAGTAGTAAATTCTGGGTAAAATCTAGTGACTTTCTTGTGAGTCCCATTTTCTATCATGATCCTTTTAGTGATTTTTACAAAAAAATTCAAATCTTCCAGGGTGACTTATTTGTGATTTGCAGTCACTGGAAAGCCAGTGCCCTGAAATTTCCCCTGGTGATCAAGTAGCTTGTTTTTAGTTATTCTAAGCCCCCTTCTGAGTCAAACATGAAACTTAAGTAATCTGCTTTTCTTAACTACTCATTTCTCTAAGATGAATTCTTCTTTTTCCTGATTTTATGTTGATTTATCAAAGACTGATTACTTAGAATTAACAACTCTAATTATTTGTGGTTTATAACATGTTTTCTTTGAGTAACTCATCCAGCCTGTCTAAAAGAGACTGAGAAGACTTGCCCGGTTTGTTTCTGCCAAATACTCATGTTTCTTCCTCTCAGTACTTTATTCAAAATGGCTCTATTATTCATTTTTTCCCGACCACAACTTGACCCCTTGTATTTAGTCTACTTGAATCCAAGCCTTTTACTTTTGAATAAAAAATGATTAGCTCTTTCATTCTTTTTCCGTGAGCTTTTCCCACAAAATGAATTCTTCCTTTTTTGGCCCTCTGCCTCTCACGCGCCACCAGTCCAAACATTCAACAACTATCCAAGTGGGCTGATCATAATAATTGATTGAAAAAAGTGTGGAACAAGGTTTAGGACAGAATAGAGGCAGAGATCTTGGGGAGATGTGATGAAGTTTCAACATAAATCAAGGAGATGAATTCAACTTTTAGTTAATCAAGAGCCAAATTATCTTGTGCTTTGATAGTTGATGTAGTAGACATGCTAAGTAAAGAATGAATTACTGGACATGATCTTCTAGCTTTGAAAGACAAGTAATATGATTTGATGGCATAAAATTAATCACATATTTCTTCCTTGACATAAATAAACTCAAGTGTCCTTCTTGAGATATATATCTTATTGTGATATAGTTATGAATACTTTTCTGTCTAGAAACATAAATGAGACTTTTTTCTCATCAAAAAAGATCAGCTTAGCTTGCTGTGATGTTCTGATTATATTGAGTTTAATCTGAAAGTAATCAACATGCTGTGCTTCAAGTAAATGTGAAATCAATGTCTACTACATTATATCTAGATATATGGAAAGGTTTTCTGATAGAGAAATAGGTTTGAAGCTCCACATGCCCATCCAATCTTCTTCCCAAAGAACATATTCAGAGAAATCCAAGAATAAATACTCATTCTTCCTTGGAAAATGGAGAGAATGTTTCTCAGTTTTTTATCTTATTGCTCCTCATGAATACTTGAAGCTCAAGTGCATGAATGCTTGGATTTCTTGTCATTATTTCCCTTGGGCTCACCTGTACCCATCCCATCAGATTCATTCTTTACATCAAGTTAAAGCAAAACATTCATTTTTCTGCTCATTCCCAAAGGAATTTTTCACATCAAGCTCATAAATTGTTTTGTTTTTTCTCCCTTCTAATCCTAGTTGTAATAAGGGAGATTGCACAATCTGATTCAAGACTTCAGAAGAATTCTCAGGTGGTGTTTGCCAATCATCAAGTTCAGCTTGGACAGCTCAAGATAGAAAGGCAAGAGGTTTGATCCAACAGCTCCACTGCTGCTGCTGTTGTCTATCCAAAAAATTGTACCTTGTGGCCAATCTGATAGCTCTCCAGGTGGTATGTTGAGTGGTTTCAACCTCTTGGCTACTTGTCAGCAAGGCTCTTTGCCCTTGACTTGGAATTGGATGAATCCCCTCGTCCGGTCGTCTCCCCGTTGAGGATGAATGTTAAGGTTCAGTTGGTAAGATGGTATGACTCGGATGACGTCATCGAGCTCCACCCGGTTGGTCCCGGGTGTTTTTCACATGGCCGTGATGATGATCAACGATCGATGAGCTGTCCCCTGGGCTGTCGAAGGAAACGAGTCGACTAGTATAAATTCCAGTCTTCCTCCCTCCCATCTATCTCTCAAAAACCATCAAAGAACTCACTCAAGAACAAGAAGAAGCAGAGGGAAAAGAAAGACTCGGATTGGAGGCTACAAATATTGTTTTGACTTTATATAAAATTGATTGATTTGTCTGGTCACCCCCCTGTTGTAGACTGTAGTGGTGTAGCGAGTGACAGTTGCTTGTTGACCAATTAAATCCAGCCTAAATAGCATCCCGCATCATCCCCCCTCACTCCGACTCATTCCCACCTCCTACAATCAATCAATCAATCCTCCACATCACTCACCGTCAGTCCTTTCCTTCTATCTATCTATCTTCCTCCTTCCTCATCCTATTCAAAATTAACCTGCTTGTCTCCAAACCCACAGAATCCTCAGCCAACATGATCACCTGTCAAGTTCGTCGATTATCCTCTAAGCCGGTCTTGCAATCGATCACAAGATCGTACGCCAGCGTAAGTCATACGTACTCCCTCTCTTAAACTTTGATTTCATCCGCTCGGCATCCGTGGTGGCGCATAATCACTAATAATTGTTTCCGGATTCCTCATCTGTCACCACACTATCTATCCATCTACCCATCCTCATCTCGATAACAGCATGCATCCAAGATCGGTGACACAAAGGTTTCGATGTCCAACCTCGAAAAGGAGAAATATATTAACTATCAACGTATCGAGGATAACTTACAAGTCGTCCGTCGACGGTAAGTCACACTTTTTCTCCATATATGCACGTAAATCAATGATATCAAAATTACGTAAAATCCAACTCAACATCTGTATTCTCGATCATCCCTGCCTCCTCTCGAATCATACTCAACCATCCGATTGGTTTCATTCCTTTATCTTATCATCACAGCCTTAATCGTCCCTTAACCTTATCCGAAAAGGTCCTCTACGGACATCTCGATAATCCAGAGGACGCAGACATTCGTCGGGGTGCCTCCTACCTCAAGTTACGACCAGACGTAAGTAGAGACCTATCTGAAGTGCTATTCATTGAAAAAAAAAAGGATCAGCTCTCACGTATCCTGCCCACATTCCCAGCGTGTAGCTTGTCAAGATGCCACAGCACAGATGGCCTTACTTCAATTTATGACTGCCGGCTTACCCGAGGTGGCTGTACCAACAACAGTACACTGTGACCATTTGATTGAGGCGCAGATCGGAGGAACGAAAGATCTGGCACGAGCAGTTGCGACGAACAAAGAGGTCTACGACTTCCTTGCCTCTTGTTCGGCCAAATACGGCATCGGTTTCTGGCGACCCGGCTCTGGGATCATTCACCAGATCATCTTTGAAAATTACGCCTTCCCTGGTGGATTGATGATCGGTACCGATTCTCATACCCCTAACGCCGGTGGTCTGGGTATGATCGCCGTAGGCGTCGGTGGTGCTGATGCTGTCGATGTAATGGCTAACTTGCCTTGGGAGTTGAAGTGCCCCAAAGTTATCGGTGTCAAACTGACTGGCCAAATATCTGGCTGGACAAGCCCCAAAGGTTAGCAATCACAATTCTTTTTTGCCCAGTTTTATACTATTAGGCGGTTGACCAAATCCTTCTGTATCTTTTTTGATTGATAGATGTCATCCTCAAGGTCGCTGGCATACTTACCGTCAAGGGTGGAACTGGAGCAATCGTCGAATATTTTGGACCTGGGGTTGAATCTTTGTCAGCCACCGGAATGGGCACGATTTGTAACATGGGTGCCGAAATTGGCGCGACCACCTCGATGTTCCCTTACAACCGTCGCATGGCGGATTATCTCAATGCCACCAAACGTGGTAACATCGCCAAATACGCGGATCAGTTCAAGCACAACTTGCAGAGCGACGAGGGAGCTCAATACGATGAAATGATCGAAATCAACTTGAATGAATTAGAACCCCACATCAATGGACCGGTATGTTCCTTTGAATCTTCCGATCGGTCAAAAAACCTGCTGCGCTGCGACAAAAGCTCACTGATCAATGAAATCGAAATTGCTTTTAATATCTGTAGTACACACCCGATCTTGCCACGCCTTTATCCACCTTTGCGAAGACCGTTGAAGAAAAGGGCTGGCCAAAGGAATTGAAAGTTGCGCTGATCGGCTCTTGCACTAATTCGTCTTATGAAGACATGTCACGAGCGGCCTCGATTGCCAAGGAAGCCCATGACCATGGCTTGAATGTTAAATCCAAGTTCACGATCACTCCCGGCTCCGAACAAATCCGTGCAACGATCGCCCGTGACGGCCAAATGGAAGTTTTAGAAAACGTTGGTGGTTTGGTACTAGCCAATGCATGTGGACCTTGTATCGGTCAATGGGACAGACAAGATGTTAAGAAGGGCGATGTGAGTTTTTTCTGATGTGTGAGCAAAAAAAAAATCGTGGGATCTAGGCTCTGGAGCTCATTACATTGTCCCTAGGTAAACTCTATCATCACATCTTATAACCGAAACTTCACTGGTCGAAACGATGCGAATCCATCTACTCACGCCTTTGTAGCTTCACCTGACCTTGTCACCGCCATGGCATTCGCTGGTGATTTAACCTTCAACCCAATGAAAGATACTTTGAAAGGCAAGGACGGCAAAGAATTCAGATTCTCCGACCCATCTGGAAAGGAATTGCCTCCGCGTGGGTACGACGCAGGAGAGAACACATATCAATCTCCACCAGCCGACCGACAATCAATTAACGTTGCGGTTTCACCTTCGAGTGATCGACTTCAGGTCCTCAAACCGTTCAAGGCATGGGATGGCAAGGACCCTGCCAACTTGCCAGTCTTGATCAAGGCATCTGGCAAATGTACTACCGACCACAGTTGCGTATCTTCACTTTATCGTTTTAGCTGGGTCAATCCTGTTAACGACCCAGCTTTCTTCTTTTATCATGTCTGTAGTTTCAGCTGGTGGGCCATGGTTAAAGTACCGAGGTCACCTTGAGAATATCTCTCAGAACATGTTGATCGGCGCTATCAATGAGGCGAACGGTAAGCCCAACGAGGTCTTGAACCAAGAGACTGGCAAGTGGGGTGGAGTACCTGAAGTAGCTGCCTACTACCGTGACAACGGTATCCCTTGGTGTGAGTTTGTTAATCGGAGAAGGTTGGTGGGTTTGATAGTTACTGATACCTTTTCATCTATCTCTTTCAGGTGTCATCGGTGACCAAAATTACGGTGAAGGATCCTCCCGAGAACACGCTGCTCTTGAGCCCAGATTCATGGGTGGTGTGGCTGTCATCACCCGATCATTTGCGCGTATCCGTGAGTAGTCAAAAATTTAGCTCAACACACTTAAGTTCAAAGTTGGGTAGAGAAAAAAGACTGATCGATTATTGCCGGATGATTATTCATTTACTTATATAGATGAGACAAATTTGAAGAAACAAGGAATGCTGCCATTGAACTTTGAAAACCCTGCAGATTATGAGAAAGTTAAACCGGATGATCGAATCGATTTGAAAGGTATTACCGAATTGAAGGAAGGTAGCAAGGTGACAATGATCGCTAAACATAAGGATGGATCGGCCGATCAAATCCCTTTGACCCATACTTTCAATCAAGGTCAGATTGAATGGTTTAAGGCTGGTTCAGCTTTAAATTTGATGGGTAAAATGAAGAAGTAATCTCTCTTTTAAAACTATGTGATATATAAATCAGAGAGAATCTTTGCATTACTGTTTTCGTCAAATCCATACGCATTCTTTGTGTTGCTCCTTTTTGTTTTGTTTTTTTTGGTACAAGTTTAAACATATACATATACATATATATAATATATGTATGACCCCATGAGTACACATACTCACAGGTGTTGAAAAAAAATATTAATAAGATTGATTTGAATTTGAATTTCTTTAATAAGGCCCCGTTTGGCAGCGTCATAAATTCAAGTGTAATATTGCCTTATAAATTCAATTTAAAATAAACCACTCAGAAATATTTAGTAAAATTTTGACTGGGGCAAGGTCAACTACTGATTTCAATTTTAGAACAGAAAAATTTGAGATAATGGGCTATCTTCAGCACCATAATACCAATATCACACTTTTTACCCATATAAAGTGTAATATCAATATTATGGGTCTCAAGATGGCCTAAGATATCAAGTTTGTTCTCAGCATTGATGAAACCAATAATTGAACTTGCCTGAGTAACAATTTTGAAACATGATTTGCATTGGTTTATTTTTTATTGAATTAATCAGGCAATATTACACCTAAATTTATGATGCTGCCAAACGGGGCCTAAATGAATCAACATTCATGTTCTTTCCTCATTATTATCATCATTGTCATGTATACTGTCTCCAGTTATTCTTTCTTCCCCCTCTTCCCCCTTTTTTGTCATTTTATCTATCTCTGGCCTTGAATGTTGGAGGAAGAGACAAAAAGATCACAAAATTTGAAATTTGAACAGACTTGAGAGCAGTCATGGTTCCAGAATCTTACATTCAATCATCAATACACCCAAATACTCAAGGGAATCTGGTTTTGGCTCATGTCCATTGACCTGTGGCCAGTGCTTTACCAGCTCCAATACTAGCAAGCAACATTGTATTGGTCTACCAATTCAATCCACTGTCTCAGTCAAAGCAGCTATCATGCAATAAGGCTGATACACTGTATGTGTCTATACAATAGGGGGTATCAAATATAGTAAATCCACCATTAGAAACCAGTCACTTTTCCCAAAAAATATTTTTGCATCAAAGGGCCCCAAAAGGGGTTAAATGAATAACCAACATGTTTAAAAAAGGGTGGATTTTTTCAAACCAGTCAATTAAATAATGGTGGATTTGGTTATATTTGATACCCCCTAATACATGTATCAGAATTTTTGCACCAGTGATGGTGTCATCAGATTGGTTTACAAGTGGAGTACTATCAACCCAAGTTCCAACCCCAATATAAGTGTGGATTTGGGGTTGGGCACAGATTTTTGACCCAAACCCAAGATACTTGCAACCTGAGGTATGTGTTTTGCCCTAAAAGCAGTGCAAATACAGATTGGCACCTGTTAGCACTTTTAAATCCACAGTAATACAGTGTCTCTGGGTAAGTATCAGCAACCAGGGACCCATAAGCACACTTTCAGTGGTTCTCTGCTGCTTCTGCTGCACATTTTGACAGTGTCAGGACACTTTTGAGGGATGAAATAACACTGATTGATTGTGGGAGTCGGCCAAATATAGGTAAGTTCTGGGCTAGCAAATCAGAAGTACATAGGCTGCTGCACTGCACTCAAAGTACCATTTTTTCCAGTGCAGCACAGCGGTTTCACCATTGCCTGAAGTACCATGTCTACCTGTGTGTTGGTGCCAGGTGTGGTACAGCGGGTAGACAGTGAAAAGTGGCTGCTTATTTTTGGATTCCAGGGCTCCAAAACACTAACTTGAAGACATGAGACTTGGTCAGGTGGTGCATAATAGCAACACTGAAATTGAGAAAAGACATGTATTTGGTATTTCTTGTATTTTCTCTATTTTGAGACTGATACCTGGTATCAGTATTTCCTTGGTTGGTGAGAAAATCCACCGTCTTGAATTTGTCTTTGCACATGCAATTTTTTTTGGATTGATATAGCCAGGTATCTTGTGTAGCAAAGACATTTTTGACGGCATTTGCCCTTTGAGACAATACACAATACTTGTCACACTTTCCAAAGACAATATGTACGTGTTTATCATCTCAGGAAAGTGAGACAAACGAGGATTGGTATTTTTGAGTATTCAAATTCTGAGAAAATAAAAATAAATGCCTGATGCCATTTTGTCTTGCCTCTGGAGTCCGTTTCACCATTGATAATAGGTCCCAAAAAATGAATATGAATATTAAAAAATAAAAACACAAAATAAAGTTTCAAAATTTGTGAAAAATGAAAAATAAAACTGATTTCTTTCAAAAGCTTTGATATTCATTTTGGGTGTGTGAGAGCTGAGAGAAAGAAATTAGAATGGAACATGGGAAGATTGATTATAAATGAAAAAATTGGAAACAAAAAAGGTTTATCCAGGTTGGTTGTCCAGATTGAAGCCAAAACAGTAAATTCTAGTGCTTTACCACAATGTGGGCTGGTGAATGCCCCACTCAACAGCTGTTTGAAGCCGTCTGGGAACCAATTTTTCCAAAATTTTCATCAATAATCATTCTTCTGATGTCCCAATCTCTCTTTCTCTCAGCACTCTCACTCCCCCAAACTGAATGTCAAAGTTTTTGAGAAAAATCAATTTTGTTATTTTTCACAAATTTTGGAACTTTGTTTTTTGTTTTAATTTTTCATATTCATTTTACAGGACCTATTCTTCACCACTTGACCAAGTCATATGACTTAAACCTTATTTTTCAGAGCTCTGGAATGCAAAATAAGCAGCCACTCTTCACTATCTTAGTCTACCCACTGTACATGGTGCCTAATTTGGCAAAAAAAACATAAACTGGGGTACCTGGGTGCCAACTGGTACCCATGGCTTAGTTGAATGGTTGTATTCCAAAAATTAATTCAAGATTTGGCAGATCTGTTAGAGTTGTGTGAGATGCTGTCCATTGGTACCTAATGAACCTCTATTCTTGTAGAAAGAAAAATTGATCCAAGACTTGACTTTTTGATATCTTTAATTCCCCTACAACATTTTTTATTCTATGTCTCTATCAGCAAGAAAAAAGCAGACTTTTTTAAAGCTAGGTCACTAGTTTTGGATTTGCTTCAAATTTCCCAATTTCTATTACAGCCTTCTAACTGCAGACCCATGGTGGGCAGAATTTCCTATGTGGTTTGGCAGGTTATTTTGTTACAAGGGTGAGCTACAGGCAAAAAAAATATTGTTTGGTGGACCCAAATAATATGTGGTATGGGCTTTTATGCACTTATACATATATGCTGTTAGGCATTTTTGACTATGTGTTTTATCAAGTAATGGAAGATTTGCAATTCTTCTCCTCTTTATGAGTATCAAATATAACCAAATCCACCATTATTTAATTGACTGGTTTGAAAAAATTTGGTTATCCATTTAACTGATGAAATAGACTGGAGACAACACGGTTGGAAAGGATAATTTCATCAAAAAGAGAAGAAGAGGAAAAAGGAAAAAGAAAAGACTAACCTGGAGACAACACGGTTGGAAAGGATGAGGAAAGAGGAATCCTTTCCAACAGTGCTGACTCCAGTATAAGAACTAGAACATGATGAGTGTCACAACCTGTGACATGTGAGAGGTGAAATCAGATAGAAGCACAGACAGAAGTGTAGCTATGGAAATGAGAATAGACCTGTGACATAGATAACTCAACACCCCCCCTTGCTGATAACTGGTTTCAATGACAAAAAAAAGGAAACAGTACGGTTGGTTATCCATTTAAACCCTTTTGGGGCCCATTTATGCAAAATTTTTTTTTGGAAAAGTGACTGGTTTCTGATGGTGGATTTCCTATATTTGATACCCCCAATGAGGGGTATCATATATAACAAATCCACCATTAGAAACCAGTCAGTTTTCCAAAAATAAAATATTGCATCAATGGGCAAAACCATTTTGGCAAAACTGACTGGTTTCTAATGGCGGATTTCCTATATTGAATACCCCCTAATGAAGAACCAACATTTTTGACAAAAATGGTGGGTTGATTTTGACCATTCAATTAAAAAAAGGTGGATTTGGTTATATCTGATATCCCCTTCATAAGGGGTATCAAATATAGCCAAATCCACCATTATTTAATTGACTGGTTTGAAAAATTCCACACTTTTTTAAACCTGTTGGTTCTTCATTTAACCCCTTTTGGGGCCCATCAAAACAAAAAAACTTTTTTCAAAAAGTGACTGTTTTCTAATGGTGGATTTACCATATTTGATAGTATGATACCCCCTAATATGTTCAAGCTACATTTCTTTTGTCTGATAGTTGTATATGATATTTTTTTTTCTAGAATGAAACTGAGGGAGTGAGAGAGTAAATTCACAATTTCAAACATGATTGAAGAGGTATATTAATTTTTCTTGTTACTGTCCAATACAGAATGTCTTTTTTTTTGAAGGATGAAACTTTATAACCAAGATTGTGTAATTTTCAATAAATAAAACAGTAATTTACCATCATATCTTACGATGAATGGACACATTAAACAGATGGACCTTGAAATTGAATGAAATTATGTATAAACAGTCAAAAGTATGATGACATATCCCAGTAGAATTGATATCTCTGTTTAAGTGAACTGTTTTATTCAGGCCAAGGTGTGTTGCCAAAGGTATAAGAGTTTTTTTTTTTTTTTGAAGTATGTGTGTTGACATGTTATTTCAAGGTAAATTTTCAAGCTCTTTCTTTCTGATTTAGTCACTTATATTTTCACAAAAAAATACCTCTATCATCTTACAAAAATTACTCACTATAAATGCTGGATAGATTCAAAAACTTTCTTGTGGTTCTGTTAATGATAAACAACTGTGGTGCAACTGAAGACTTCCATTATGATTATATGGCCTCTTTTGATTGGAAAATGAAGCCACCTACAGGTGATGAAATCGACAACTTAATACCTACCACTGAAATACCTACCCACCATGAGATTCAACCTTTTCACATATTTGAGGAAGAAAATTCTTGTGGACATATTTTAAATTATCTACC